AAATATATTTTTAAAAATTATAAAAACTAAACATCCTACAGTATTTTTACAGTTAAAATATATCAAATAAAGTCTAATGTTACAACTAATCAGGGATCCTTTAACTAAAAACATTTAATGATTATTTCTGAAAGTTTAATTAAAATCCATCCAATGTTCAGGAGATATTTTACTAACAGATACAGGCAGGTGGACCTGGACCAGCAGGATCCAGGTCCACCAGTAGGGGGGCCGTCCAGCTGTGGTCTTAAGATGAACCTCAGAGGTCTGCATCTTCATCCCCGTCTGTCAGGAGGAGGAGGCAGACCTGCAACAGAACCTGGACCTGGACCAGCTGGAACCTCAGACCTGGAGCAGGTCCAGGTGGTTCTGACGCCAGCCGACGAGTGTTTTCTGTAAATAACGCCYCGCTCCGCAGACACGTCGCCATGGTGACGACGACCGAGAGAGAGATTAGCTGCTGCTGTTGCCACGGTAACGGTCACGGATCACAGCTGACATCCACAGTCTGGGTTGTCAGTCACTGTTGCCATGGCGATCCTCCTGCGTCTCTTCAGTGTTTGAGTCAGCGTCCACGCAGCTCAACTACTTTAAGGTAGTTTTAAACATTTCAGCTAATCAGAACACGACTTATACAGTATACTTAACATATTTATTCACTTTTATTTGACTTTTTCTTTAAATGCTTCATCAAAGCTGTTATAAAAACACTAAAAGGACACATACAGAAAAGAAAAGTTTCCTTTTATGAGTTAACCTGTTAACCTTCGGGCCTAAAATACCATAAAACACCTTAAAAAGTACACAAATTAAATGAAGTACTGCTTTTGAACCCTTTATAGTAAATTCACAAGCTTGGTCTCTTTTTAAAGCTAATAATCTGAACGTTTAACTTCACCAGTCATATTCTTTGTAACTGTTACCAGTATTTAGTATATTGAAGTAAAAATACACAAAAATTAAGATATTTTTCTCCCTAAATTTTTTTTATTAATAATAATTAAAATAAATATGAAGGGAATGAGATATTATCAAACAAATTTTACTGGGCTAAAATATTAATTCTCAACTATTACCAGTTCCAATTTGGTAACAGTAACATAAAATATGAATATTTGAGACATAGTACAATCCAGCATGTCTCATTTGCATATTTGTACTAATTTACATATGTCCAGACTGTACAGTTTGTCTAAAACACTGTAATTTATAAATGCTTCAACACAGGGACTTCATTCTGGGCTCAAATTAAAGATAAAACCCCACAAAACACATTCTACCATCCATATTTACTCACAGCATGATTAAATTAAAAATATATATTAATTTTCATAAATATTTATACCAACACTACATTCAGCCAAATTTCCACCAATAAACAGCCAAACCACAAGAATAAACAATATATCCTTATTTCTTTCAGAGCATTAACATTCCACACAGCTTATAAAACCACCAGCAGCGAAAAAATATTTGTTTTTTTACTCACATTTGATGCATATTTGCCCTCAAATATGTCCAAATTAGCGATTCAAAATGGCAACCGGAAGTCTTTTTACCCAAATAAAGTTACTTCACCCGGCCACAAAAATCACTCTTCCAAGTCTTGAAGCACTCGAAACACTTAATGACAAATATATTTTCATCTTATCAGCAGGTTTCATCAGCTATTTGGACAAATAATGTTGGAAAACAATGTTTTCCTGTGAGCGTTAGCTGCCTTCCTTAGCATTATAAGACTGCCGAAACATGGCCGCCTCCACTGTGTTTTCATCTTCCATCACTAACAAAGTTCCCGCCCCCTCTTTATATACTTTAAATTAAAGGTACGGTGATGGGCTACACAGCTGTGGCGTCAGAACGAAGCTCGGAGCTGATTGGCCGATTTTACAGTCAATCAAAGCTAGAAAGATGGAAACCGGAAGTTGGTCTCTACTGATATTGGCTCTGGACAGCCGAATCTTGAACCCAGTTGGTCAAACCAGGTGTCAATCGAAAGAGGAGGGCCTAGACGTCAAGTTTGATGCATTGCACARGGACACAAGCGGAACAGGAAACAGATAWGATACTTCAAAAATAAAACAAATACAAAACGGCACGCAGGCGTTCCGCTGAATGTTCTCCAATCAAAGCTCTGTATAGTTCCTCTTAGTCTTTATATTCCTTCTTATGTGTCTGTTTACTTTCCTAAAACTGAGTCTGACTAAAATTTGTTTCTMTGAACAGTTTTTTATCACTTTCTAACCCTGAGCTAAACGAATGAATCATCTGTAAACATTGTTCTTGTTACAGATCATTTAAATCTTTTAGGTCCTAATATGGAGCCATGTGGAACACCACAGGTTATTGTCCTTGGCTGTGAATCTGTTATTTTCACAAATTAAATGTTTTTTTTAATTAACTCTCAATTAAGTATAAAATTAAATTATAAAATTAAAAGTTTAATCTTTAGAGTTAGCTTGATTCAAAATGGCCGCTGCAGCTAACTGACCTTAGCGAACGCTAAAGTCTCTGTAGCTCGGTCAGTTTTATAGATGCTGAGATGAAACTTGGAGTGGTACAGTGGTTTGCAAAAGTATTCATASCCCTTGAACTTTTCCATATTTTGTCACATTACAACCACAAACATAAATATATTTCACTGGAATTTAATGTGAAAGACCAACACAAAGTGGTATACAATTGTGAAGTGGAAGCAAAATTTTACATGAATCAAAACATTTTTTACAAATAAAAAACTGAAAAGTGCGATGTGCAAAATTATTCAGCCCCCCTGAGTCAATACTTTGTGGAGCCACCTTTTGCTGCAATTACAGCTGCAAGTCTTTTAGGGTATGTCTCCACCAGCTTTGCACATCTAGTGACTGCAATTCTTGCCCATTCCTCCTTGCAAAACAGCTCAAGCTCAGTCAGATTGGATGGAGAGCGTTTGTGAACAGCAGTTTTGAGATCTTGCCACAAATTCTCAATTGGGTTTAGGTCTGGACTTTGACTGGGCCATTCTAACACATGAATATTCTTTTTTTTAAACCACTCCATTGTAGCTTTGGCTTTATGTTTAGGGTCGTTGTCCTGCTGGAAGGTGAACCTCCGCCCCAGTCTCAAATCTTTTGCTGACTCCAACAGGTTTTCTTCCAAGATTGCCCTGTATTTGGCTCCATCCATCTTCCCATCAACTTTGACCAACTTCCCGGTCCCTGCTGAAGAGAAGCACCCCCAGAGCATGATGCTGCCACCACCATATTTGACAGTGGGGATGGTGTTTTCAGAGTGATGTGCAGTGTTCTTTCTCCGCCACACATAGCGTTTTGCATTGTGGCCAAAAAGTTCAATTTTGGTCTCGTCTGACCAAAGCACCTTCTTCCACATGTTTGCTGTGTCCTCAACATGGCTTCTGGCAAACTGCAAACGGGACTTCTTATGGTTTTCTTTTAACAATGGCTTTCTCCTTGCCACTCTTCCATAAAGACCACATTTGTGTAGTGCACGACTAATTGTTGTCCTGTGGACAGTTTCCCCCACCTGAGCTGTGGCTCTCTGCATTTCATCCAGAGTCACCATGGGCCTCTTGGCTGCCTCTCTGATCAGTGATCTCCTTGTTCGGCCTGTAAGTTTAGGTGGACGGCCTTGTCTTGGCAGGTTTACTGTGGTGCCATACTCTTTCCATTTCCGGATGATGGATTGAACAGTGCTCCGTGAGATGTTCAAAGCTTGGGAAATCTTTTTATAACCTAAGCCTGCTTTAAACTTCTCCAAAACCATATTCCTAACCTGTCTGGTGTGTTCTTTGGACTTCATGATGCTGTTTGCTCCCCAATATTCTCTTAACCAACATCTGAGGCCGTCACGGAGCAGCTGTATTTGTACTGAGATTAGATTACACACAGGTGGACCCTTTTGAGTCATTAGCAGTCATCAGGCAACTTCTGAATGCAATTGGTTGCACTCAGGGAAAAGGGGGCTGAATACTTTTGCACGTCGCACTTTTCAGTTTTTTATTTGTAAAAAATGTTTTGATTCATGTAAAATTTTGCTTCCACTTCACAATTGTATACCACTTTGTGTTGGTCTTTCACATTAAATTCCAGTGAAATATATTTATGTTTGTGGTTGTAATGTGACAAAATATGGAAAAGTTCAAGGGGTATGAATACTTTTGCAAACCACTGTAGTAGCTGAGAGTCTTCSCCAACACACGCTCTGATCTTTAGCCTGTAAGACGGTGGGTGATATGCATTCCTCAGGTTGTTGTTCATGAACAGAAATCAATCTTTAGCCATGAGGTCTCAGGCGGATCTTTATTAGAGCCAGACCAGAACCCCGCACCCTCAGAAACCACCTGATCTCTGCTCAGCTAGGCACAACACTCTGATAAAAATCACATTTATTTGACTTTTACACACATAAAAAACAAATCTCTGTTGAAGATGGCACGTTGTCTGAGTTCAAACTGCAGGAATCATGAAATTAAACTAATTTCTTTCTTCAGAAAATCTCTTTGGTTTGTAAAGGATCCGGGACAGACTTTAGCCTGGCAGGTTCTGGGTTCTCATCAGGTTGAATGAAGCTTCTGTTGTCAGATTGTGAAAAGTCCAGGATGGTTTGAGAGGCCGCTGACTGACGTTACTGTGCTAATCAGAAGTTAGCATGCAGTGCTAGCTATGCTAAATGCCTAATGCTAACGTCTATGTACAGCAGGATGTCGGCTGAGAGCTGAAGGCAAAATAAAGCTTAAAATATATAAAACTAATATGAATATAAAATATACTTTAACATCATACAACAATAGATCTATGGATTGTCTTTGGCTAATCACTACTGACGGCTTTAGCATCAAACTCTAAACTCTTACTGGCTTCAACACAACGAACCCTCCTCATTATTAAACCCTGAAGCTGCTGCACCAGCTGGGACAGGATAACAGGTTAGAGGTCAATCTGAGACACTGTTAGCTGCAAACCAAAGATTATGGTGCAGCATGAGGGCCAAATTCAAGACTATTGCACAACCAGCTGTTGCTACATCCTTGTAGCAGGAGGCTACATCTATTCCTAATCAGCTAATGAGGCGTCGGCCTCTCCACTGCTGTCTGTGCTAGTCGCTAGCCTTTCCAATGATATCCATGCTAGTTGCTAGCCTCTCC